AAAAAAAAAAAAAAAAAAAAAAAAAAAAAAAAAAAAAAAAAAAAAAAAAAAAAAAAAAAAAAAAAAAAAAAAAAAAAGAAAATAAGAGTGGAGGGAATGCGCCCGGGCACAGTGGCTCATGCCTGTAATAATCCCAGCACTTTGGGAGGCTGAGAGGCAGGTGGATTACCTGAGGTCAGGAGTTCAAGACCAGCCTGCCCAACATGGTGAAACCCCATCTCTACTAAAAATACAAAAATTAGCGCAGTGTGGTGGCAGACACCTGTAATCCCAGCTAGTTGGGAGGCTGGGGCGGAAGAATCACTTGAGCCTGGGAGGTGGAGGTTACAGTGAGCCGAGATCCCGCCATTGCATTCCAGCCTGGGTGACAGAGCGAGACTCCAAAAGAAAAAAAAAAAGTGGCCAGGCGCAGTGGCTCATGCCTGTAATCCCAGCACTTTGGGAGGCTAAGGTGGGTGGATCACGAGGTCAGGAGTTCAAGACCAGCCTGGCCAAGTTGTTGAAACCTCGTCTCTACTAAAAATACAAAAATTAGCTGGGCACGGTGGCACGCGCCTGTACTCCCAGCTACTCAGGCTGAGGCAAGAGAATCGCTTGAACCTGGGAGGCAGAGGTTGCAGTGAGCCGAGATTGCGCCATTGCACTCCACCCTGGGTGGCAGAGTAAGACTCCATCTCAAAAAAAAAGAAAAAATAGGAGAGAATACTTAGGTACCTGGTAGTTTGAGAGTATTTCTAGCTTATATATTATGGTATTTTTTGCTTATACAAAATATTTGAATCATGAGTAATAACCTGCTTTTACGTTTTTTTCCTTCCCCAGAGGATAAAGCTCCTCCTTCCTCCCTTTTAGTTCATAAGCTTATTTTCCAGTACATTGAGGAAAAGGAATCCTGGAAGAAGACATGTACAACACAGCATCAGGTACCCAAGGTAAAGTCTGATTGAAGTATTTAAAGGAAAATTTGTATTATCTTTCCAAAAAAAAAGCAGAATTGAAACTTTACATATTAATAATGGATCCTGAAATGATAAATGTATTCAATTGTTTAACTTGTTTGAGTTCTTATAAGTGAGCCACTAAGCATTGGAATGTTTTCATAATTTCATTGGATTTTTTTTTCCATTTTTTTCTAGATGCTTGAAGAATTCTCACTGGTAGTGAACCACTGCAGACTCCTTGGAGAGGAGATTGAGTATTTAAAGACATGGGGACCAAATTATAACCTAATGAACATAGATGTTAATAATATTGAGTAAGTATATTAGTTCCTAAGGACTGCCATGACAGAGTACTACAAATTGGGTACCTTAAACAACAGGAATGTATTGTCTTACGGTTCCGGAGGCTGGAAGTCTGAGATCAATGTGTAAGCGGTGTGGTTCTTTCTGAGGGCTGTTAGAATCTTTCTGAGGGCTGTTAGAAGGAATCTTCCATACCTTCTCCCAGTTCCCAATGTCTGGTGGTTTGCTGGCAATCTTTGGCATTCCTTGGCTTGTAAATGTATAACCTTGATCTCTGCCTTCATCTTCACATGGTGTTCTTTCATTGTGCATGTCTGCATTCACATTCCTCACCCCCCTGCCTTTTGTTTTTTTTGAGACAGAGTCTTGCTTTGTTGCCCTTGCTCTGCCACCCTGGGTAGAGTGTAATGTCACGGTCTCCTCTCACTGCAACCTCTGTCTCCTGGATACAAGTGATTCTCCTGCCTCAGCCTCCAGAGTAGCTGGGATTACAGGCGCCAGCCACCACACCTGGCTAATTTTTGTATTTTTAGTAGACACGGGGTTACACCATGTTGGCCAGGCTGGTCTCAAACTCCTGACCACATGATCTGCCTACCTCAGTCTCCCAAAGTGCTGGATTACAGGTGTGAGCCACTGCACAACCAGCCCGCATTTCCCCTTTTTGTAAGGACGCTAGTCACAGGGGATTAGGGGCCCACCTTACTCTAGTAGGACTTCATGTTAACATATTACTTGTGTAGTGTCCCAATTTCCAAATAAGATCACATTCTGAGGTATTAGGGGTTTGGAATTCAACATGTGAATTTTGGGGAATACAGTCCAACCCAACAGTAAGTACTTGGTCAACAGTTTATTAAATGAATATATATATATTCATTTTATTTAATAAAAAATATATATAATAATAAAGAATATATACATATATTTTGAGTCAGAGTCTCGCTCTGTCACCCAGGCGGGAGTGCAATGGCGTAATCTTCAGCTCATGGTAACCTCCACCTTCCGGGTTCAAGCTGTTCTGCCTCAGCCTCCCAAGTAGCTGGGATGACAGGCTCCCACCACCATGCCCAGCTAATTTTTGTATTTTTAGTGCAGACGGGGTTTCACTGTTACACAATATTGGTCAGGCTGGTGTCTTAGCCAGGCTGGTCTCGAACTCCTGACCTCATTATCTGCCCACCTCAGCCTCCCAAAGTGCTGGGATTACAGGCATGAGCCACCACACCTGGCCTTAAATGAATGTATTAATGCATTTCATGACTAGCAATGAAAAAGCAGTCATTATAATATCTTGCTCCAGATGTTTTGCCTTTGCTCACTAGATAAGGATAAGAAATAATGGGCCAGGCATGGTGGCCCACACCTGTAATCCCAGCACTTTGGGAGGCCAAGGTGGGCTAATCGCTTGAGGCCAGGAGTTTGAGACCAGCCTAGCCAACATGGCAAAATCCTTGGTTTTTGGCTGGGCTCAGTAGCTCACGCCTGTAATCCCAGCACTTTGGGAGGTGAGGCAGGTGGATCACTTGAGGTCAGGAATTTGAGACAATGTGGCCAACAAGGTGAAACCCCATCTCTACTAACAATACAAAAATTAGCTGGGCGCGATGTCGCACACCTGTAATCCTAACTATCAGGAGAATAGCTAGAACCTGGGAGGTGGAGTTGCTATGAGCTAAGATTGTGTGCACACCAGCCTGGGTGACACAGCAAGACTTCATCTTAACAAAGAAGAAATTGTGTTTCATGCTATGATTGTATTGCATTTTTAATTATGGATTTTGTCTTTTACAGATTGAAACTTTTATTCTCTAGCTCTGCAGCATTTGCAAAGTTTGAAATAACTTTGTTTCTATCAGCCCATTATCCATCTGTACCATTACTTTTCACCATTCAGAATCATATTGGGAACACTAGGTAAGTAAAGGGCCAACAGGCTGAAACATTGGACTACTTTTTAATGTTATTTTATTTGAAAGATTCCTCAAAGTGGTCAGCAAATCAGTGGATCATAGTGGAGCTAAAAGTCAGTTCTCTGACTTCATTTTGAAGAATTTTTTCTTAAAGTCAGTGACCTTCATTGCTGTCTCCAGTGGATGCTGGAGACCACTGGTCTGTTCTTTTATACCTGCTTCACTTTTTGAACACTCCAACCTAAAAAATGAATCAAGAAGGAAAAAATTCAATGTAAGAGTAGTACAGATTATATGTAAACGACTTTTATGGCCTTAAAAACAGAGTTAGGGCTGGATATGATGGCTCACGCCTGTAAGCCCAGCACTTTAGGAGGCAAAGGTGGGCAGATCACTTGAGCTTAGGAGTTCCAGACCAGCCTGTCCAATACAGTGAAACACTGCCTCTACTAAACATACATAAATTCGCTGGGTGTGGTGGCGAGCATCTTTAGTCCCACTAATCCTGGGGCTGAGGTGGGAGGATTGCTTGAGCCTGGGAGGTGGAGATTGCCATCAGCCAAGATCATGCCACTGTCTCAAAACAAAACAGAGTCTGTGGAACCAGACCTAAAAATGTCTCATTCCTCCTAGGCTGTGATGTATTTTGTGACTTTTTTTTTTTTTTTTTTGTGGAAAACATTTCCATGATTAAAGCCCTTGGTACTTAATATGTAAGCAAAGGCTTTTAAGATGTCTTTTAGCATAGAGATAATTGTGGACATACCATTTGGAATGGAAAGCGATACTGCGACTTTGGTTTTTTTTTTGGTTTTTTTTT